TTTACGGCTCATCAACATTTTGCAGGTTATTTAAAGCATTTTTTTTTGGAGATAATGAGTTCCTGATTCAAGTCATAGTAATTAACCCATAGCTGGGGGAGAAGAGGTGGATTCATGACTTTCCTTATCTTGATGTGTGTATATTGAATCAATTGCTAATTCTGCAACTCAAAATGTTTTTTCATTGTGTCGAGCTAGACAATTTTACTCGCCGGAATCTATCTTACAGATTTATGTCTACCATTATCAGATAGGTTTTAGTAGACGTATTATAGTTGCATGAGTTTGGGTTTTGTTTTATTTTCGAGCAGGACATAGTAAAATGTCTGATGTGCGACACGCGATTCGTCTGGGAAATAAATTTTTCTAGCCAGAATCTATCTTACATATTTATAAGTCTACCATTTGTCCTTTCTTTCAATATTGATGTCACATCTGGTCTCGTGTTCCTGCTATATACTTAGAGATTCTTGATAAAATCCAAAGAAGAATCTGCAATGTTATTGGTCCTTACCTGGTATCTCGTCTTCAGTCACTTTCCCACCGCCATAACGTAGCGTTCCTATGACTTTTCTATAAATACTTTCATGGTAATTGTTCTGATGAACATTATTCTATGATACCAGGAGGTTCTCATCGTTTTACAGTTGAAATGGCTAATTGTAACCGTAAGTTCTTTGCTAACAGTTTCTTTTCTCGGACTTCTCGATTGTGGAACTCTCTTCCGGGTTCTTGCTTCAGCTTTGACCTTAAAAAATTTAAATGTAATGTCAATCTTTATAGTTTGACTTTTTAATTATTGTTCTGTACATTTTTCTCATATTCTCTAACACTCAAGACTCTTTGCGGCTTAGCGGCTTTGTTGCCTTGTTTGCGGTGAAATGATAAAAAAATAACCCCATTTTAATATCAACCCTTTACCTTGAGAGACCCTCGAATCTTGTATTTGGTGAAATAATAATAATAATAATAATATTAATAATAATTGAGCTCTTTGATAAAATACCTTGAGGTCCTTGATAAAATCCAAAAAATAATCAGCAATATTATTGGACATGATCTAGCGGCTTGGCTTCCATCATTTTCCCACCAGTGGAAGGTTGGTTCTCTGTGCCTTTCCTATAAACACTTTCATGGTAAGTGTTCGAATGAGCTCTTCGCTATGGTACCAAGACTTTTCGAATTTAAGCGCAGTATTATTAGTCTGGCGTTGAGATCTCACCAATTCACAGTTGATGTAGCCGTAAGTTCTATGATAACAGTTTTTTCTCTCGCACTTCTCGCCTGTGGAAATCCCTTCCGGCTCCATAGTTTCCAGCCAACTTTCATCTGCAAAAATTTAAATGCAACGTCAATCGCTATCGACTGCCCTCCTGGTTACTCTTTTCTCTCCCCGGCCATTATTAATATTCCTGTTTTTAATTCTTCCACAGCCTGTAACCCTTTGTGTCTTAGTGGCTTTATTGCCTTGCATGGGGTGATACCGATTAAAAAAATAGGAAAGAAATATTTTTTTGAAATGGTTTCTTTTATTTTTTTTATTTTTTACAGTTATATTCACAATGTACAAGGCCATTCGAGTTAGAGGGTTATATAGTAAGAGGTACAGTTTATGTGAATATGTCGTGAAGATAATGGTTAACCCTAGACTTAAATAGGTTAAGATTGGAGTGATCAGGGAAGCATACACTTGGGAGTCGGTTCCACAAAGCAGCAGTTCGCGGGAAGACGCTGCTCGAGTGGAACTTACATCTCATCAATGGTTGTTCAAGCCGATAATTTTTCAGCATCTCCTCGTTTATATACACGAATAATATAATCAGGAACAATATAAATCATTACAGTACCAATGGGATAATGAGACTAATTCCTAATTTCGTTTCGTTTAGTCTGGCACAAGGCCTCTACTTTGAGGTCCCCAATAAGTATTGAAATAACGACAGTAGTAGCAGACTTCCAGACTAGCTTGTTAGCAATCATTCCACGTCAGTACGTTATATGTCATAAATCTAGTTTACTATTGCACAAGATGAATAGTTCGGAGCACTTGATGAGAAACCTAATCAATCACAAGCGTCTGCCGATCATCAATGACCATGGATTTGATCCCGCCCATCTGTTTTTTCTGGGACATCGCCGCCTGTGACTGAACAGGCCGATGCACGAGTAGCAGTCTCTGTGACACAAGTCCCACCTGTGAATGTCTGTGTATTATCTATGCTGTAGCGTTCTTTTCTGTGGGCCTACTTGCCTTCTGAGTATTTATCTTTGACTTCCGACTCAGTCAGGATGCGACACAAGGTCAGTTTGTTTTAACGTGGGGAGCCGTATGTTTGTATTCGGGCCACTCGTCAAAACTGGTCTTAGCTAGCTATAGCTTGTCTAAGCTATTCATAGCCGGTCATAGCAGACGGAACAGATGCTACAGAACAAGTCCGAGGATTCTGTCCAGAAAGCCGGGGAGAGGGCAGCTACCAACACGGAACAGATACTACAACAACAGCATCTCCTCCAACGCGAAAAACTATCCTTTCAGATCCGCTTGTCTTCTGATACGTTCTTCCGTTACTCCTCTCCTGACATTAGTTGTTTAGTCAAGTTGATTCCCCACCCAGAACGATCAGCAGCAAGATCCTACCAGTGGGGTCTCTGTTGATTCCAAGTGCCTTCATGTCCCTCTTACAGACATCTATGTAGCGCAACTGAGGGCAACCGGTGTCTATTTTACCATTTGCAAGTTCCCCGTAGAGGATGTCTTTGGGAATTCGGTCATCCTACATACGACAAACATGACAGCTATCCGAGCCTGCACTGGCTGAGCAGAGTGGACATGGTTGTTAAGCCGGCGTGTGACGCAACTTCAGTGTTGGGCACTTTCTCTTTCTACTATATACCCAGAGTAGCTTGTTAACCATAACTCCACAACGAAGCAGATATTCGTTGAATTATTTCTCTTCCGTCTATCTTATTCCGAGCTGCTTCTCCCTCATGGATGCTTTCTTGAACGTTACAATTTTAACCTCTTCAAGTCAACGGTCAGTCGCTCTCTATCCTTTTTATTTTCATAATCTTCACTTCCTCTTCTTTCATTGGGATCACACACGTCATTCATCGCAACCATTTTAACAGAAATTTCTACATTTTAATCTTACCCTCTTCAAGTCAAGGGTCCATCATTATCTATCCTCCTCATAATCTTCAATTCCTTCTACCTCCTCTTACGTTCATGGCATACACCTTATTTTGCAACCCTCTACCATGAGTGGCTCTTGTGCCTTTCATTGGGTGAACTTTAGAATATAAAAAAAATCAACTGTATTTTTGTCTCTTGACTTAATTTTATTTAATTGGGTTGTTAAAATTCCCTTTTCTTTTTCAGTGTTTTCCCTCACACAAAATCACGACTTGTTCCTCAAAGGCTTTTTTCCTTTCCAACAAAGTCTCTTTTTTTTCTCTCCATCAAATGTTTTCTTTTTCTCGTCAATGAAATCTATCGTATTCTCTCCAACAATGATTCGCCATTTATCTGCTAGAAAGTATCTCCTTTTATTTCGAACAAATTCTCTCTCTTTCTCTCACACAAAAAACAAATCATGCCCTCTCACTCAACATCTTTCTTTGTCTATTCAATAAATTATTTTCTTTTCACTAAACTTTCTGTTATGATGTTGATTTGGGGTTAGTAGAGACAAACGCCAAATAACACGTAACAATAAAAAGGGTTTTAATAGGTTGGTAAAAAGGTACAGAAATCGCCTGAGTAGTCAATAACTAGCTCAGCTAAGAACTTATCTGTCTATCTCTCTTAGTATTTATTGATCCACCCACGAGGATTGAATGTGGCACAAGGCCGGTTTAATGTGGGTATCTCCGAGCCTGTATGCTCGGCCAAAAATATACCATTTGAACCCGCCTAGACGGGTTCAGGCCCTGTCTACCTCCCCGGACGAAACCTTGCCCTTCGGCAAAACTTCATCCGGGTTCCTCTCTGCTAATGCAGAGTTCGACAGACGCCGCTTACAGTCAAAGACAGTATCACGACTCCGCTAAACTCGCAGGTCTAGCTGTCTTCTCCATGTCAACTGACATGCCACTATTTAAAGTCTTTGTTCACAGACGCAGACAAGTTCATCTTTAAGAGGGGTGGTAGGTTTCCGACACAACACCTTCTCGATTTTTCTCTACCAAAATCTCTCTCGTTTTCTCCTTCAAAATCATGCTTAGTCTCTCGTTTCTCCCTATCAAAGTTTCTCTACTTCTCTCCCTCAAATTATTTTTTCAGTAAAATCTTTTTCTTTCCAACAAAGTTTCTTTATTTTCTTTTCAACAAGATGATATTTTTTTCTAAAACTGTTTTTCTCACTAGATTTCAATTTGTCTCTTTCAAGTCTTTCTCTCTCTCTCTTTTTTTCCTTCAAAATATTTTCTTTACTCTTAAATAATTAACTTGACTTTTCTCTAGATACGGTTCTTTCTATTTTCAAGTAACGGTTTTTTTCTTTTTTCTACAAGAAGTATTTCGCTTTTTTCTCTCCCATCTGTCTCTTTCTTTCTCACCGACATTTTTTTTTCTTTTTCTTTTCAAAAATGTCTCTCTTTCTGTCAGATAAATGTTCACCTCTTACTTCATTTTTTTTTTTTTGTTTTTTATCGTCAACAAAGTCTCTTTTAGTCGCCATCAGAGTATCTCTTTTTCGATTCTATACCTCCCCCACTTTTACCAATAGTATCTCGTTTTGCTTTCAAACATGACTCGCCTTTTGTTTAAACAGATTTTCTAGTTTTCTTCCAAGGAAATCTCTCTTTTTAATTTCAACAAAATTATTAATTTATCGTTTATTTTTGGGTTTTTTTAAAGTTATTGAGAGTAAATTCTTTGAGAAAGGAAAGATAGATTGTTGGTAAATATTTTTTCACCAATACTCCATCTTTCTTTTCTCAAAAATTTCCTTTTTTTTTTTTCTCCCCAGCAATGTCTCTCTTTTTCTCTGAAACAAAAGATGGCCTTTTCTCTTTCTCATAATCACTTCTTTTATCGCAAACAAAGTTTACGTTTTTATAAGCGACAACGCTTTTTCTCTCCCTCACAAAGTTTCTTTTTCTTTCTCTCTCTTTCTCTCAAAGTAAGTTTCTTACGCCTCAACAGACAGACTCATTTTAATTTTCTCTACAACAAAGTCTCTCCTTTTCTCATCTAGTAATGTCTTCACCCCACCACATTCACCTAAAAGTCTCTATTCTCTTTCAATAGTTTCCATTTTCCTATTTAATACCAGAAAAATTAATATCTGGAATTAGATTTTTTTTTCTTAACTGTTACAGATTTCCTTGTTGTAATTCTCACTACAAGTATGTTTTCTTCTCTATTTTAAGATATTTTTTTTTAATTTAAAAAAACAAAACTTTACTTTAATTACTCCAAAAAATTGTGTTGAAATCCTATCAACTTCTAAAGACTTTCACTTAGTGAACTGTTGGTCTCTTCTTTTATGATCATCTGCAATTTTCTTAAACAGAATTCTCGTACGAGCGTGTTTGAATTAAACTGTTTTTTTTTTTATCTTCCACGTTGTTTGTGCTTTAATAATTTTTAAAACAACCTTTTCTCGTTGTTTTTTGAGCAAACATTTCCTAATTGTCAACTCCATTCAACCGAAAAAGAAATAATTCTTCTTTAATAATCATTTTCGTGAAATGGCAGGCGATAAGGCCAAAATGGCGGATCGTGATTGACAAAGTATTCAATTATAATTTTTAGGCAATGGAAACAATTCTAGAAGTTACTAAATAACTACCGACGATTGTCGCAAAATTTCCGATTAATTTTATGCTCACTAATTTCTTTTTGTTTCTATTTCATGTTGATTGTATTATAAATAGCTATATCGCCATATTTCATAATCCAACAATATTGACGCGTGTAATGAAAGTTTTTAAGTTATGTCAAACTAGGCGCTCTAAGGCAAACATTTTAAAATACATATAAAGTTTTAATTATTAAAAGCAGTTATGGCTTTAAAAATCTTTTTAATATTTAACTTAAATTTTTTAACCTTAATTTTTCCAACATTAAATATTAGATTTTTTAAACCATAATCTTAAACACTTTTTGCCAATATCAATTTAGATGTGTCCAATATTCAGACTTATTGGTTGAATTTGCTGAATTTATTTTTCTACGATTTTTTCACACAAATTCTTTTTTTTTTTAAGACGGAACTTTAAAAATATCAAATCGAATAATTTAACTTCAATGCTGTCATGATATAACGATATTGAACAAGGAAATGAGGTCATATGATAACGTTTCTTTTAGCATAGAAAGCGTTTGAAATTTGTATAGCATCTATGATTATGGGTTTTTTTTAATATAAAATGAATTTATTTGAACAACTATCTACAAAAAAAAAACATTTTATTTTTTTTACTATCTTCTGCCAGACGCAATGATGGCGAATTCATTACCTCACACCATCGCCAGTGAGACACGCTATAAGAGTCACTCCGTTTCGCGAGGCTCGTCCCTTAACGGGGACGCCATCCCGCCAATCCTCCGAAGGAATGCCATCGAACGAGGACCAATAACCACAGAAGTCGTCACTGCCACAAGAGTAAAAAAATCTATCAGCAAGAGAAGAATATTTAACTATTTTTTTTTATATCTGCGTCCCGTTCGTGAGACACCGGCTCAACTGCGGACCTGATGAAAATACCGGCCGAAAATATATCGGCACAGGTCGCATCTCAAATCAATGACTTCTCTCCTTTATTTTTATATATATATATATATATATATATATATATATATATATATATATATATATATATATATATATATAATATCTGTTAATGAATTCTATGTTTTCTTGACTCTGAGAAGCATTGTAAACGTAGAAACTTAGCCGGTTCAAAGATAAGTCCTTTGAACTTAGTTCATCTTTAGAATATTGCTGCTCTAATTTCCTTATTGAGTAGTTTCTTTACAAAAATTCGCTCGCATTTGAACGCGTCAAATTCTAGTAATTTTACGTGATATTACGTGTTTTTCAGCAGTAATAGTAGTAATAGTAGAATAATAATAATAATAATAATAATAAAGCTATCAAAATACACGGACCTTGAAATTAAAATCGAAATTTAAATCTCAAAAATGTGCCACATGGCAACATCAACAATCCCTGTAGTAGTTGGAGCCCTCGGATTGGTTGGAAAAGATTCCAGTAGACTCATTAAAAGGGATTCCCGGAATTCCATACCTTAAAGAAGTAAAAGAAATTGTTCTCACGAGTACAGTTCACACCTTATGAAGGGCTTTATCTATGTAAAATGTGTGTGTTTTTGTTTTTTGTTTTTTTTTAATAGGTCAGTGGAAAATGTCCTGATGCCATTTCTAACCTTAGATCTCTGGGCGGGACCCGGAAAAAAATCTGTACACACCAAGAAAAAAAAAAAAAAAATACTGGTGATAATGATCACCACCACCACCACCACTTCTACCAC